AAGATGGACCAACTTCATAAAAGAAGCCAGAGGCATGAGTCTGCAGGAGCTGAGCAGGGCTGTTAAGGACAGGACATCATGGACATGGCTCATTCATAGGGTCACCAGAAGTTGGAGCCACCTCAACAGCATGTAGCACACACATCAAAAACACAGCAAAGCCTGGTCAGTGTGGCTCAATGGTTGAGCGTCAACCTATGATCCAGGAGGTCATGGTTTGATTCTTGATCAGGGCACATACTCGATTCACAGTAGGGGGCCTGCAGGAGGCAGCTGATCGACAATTCTTTCTCATCATTGATGTTTCTCTCTCTCTCCTTTTCCCTTCCTCTCTCTGAAATAAATAAAAAATATATATATATAGCCAAAAGTGCTCAGTTGGTTAAAGTGTCATCCTAATACGCCAAGGTTGTGGGTTCGATCTCTGGTCAGGACACAGACAAGAAGCAACCAATGAATGCATATATAAGTGAAACAACAAATCAATGTTTCTCTCTCCCTCCCTCCCTCCCTTCCTCTCTCTCTCTAAAATCAATAATAAAAAAAAAGAAAACACAGCAAAAAGTGGACACCGGTTGCCTCTGGAGAGGGGAACTGGGTGGCTGGGAAATAAACTTACTGTTCACCGTATATTCCTTTGTACTACTTGAATTTTTGAGCTCTGGATGTATATAGAATTCACTCAAAACAGAAATTACATTATTACAACACTAAGCAGAGAGAAACAATAGAGAGAATAGGGAGAAATGCATTTCAGAGAGCCGAAATGTCCCCTGGATCAGAGCAGCCCAGCAGAGCTGGTATCGGCCCCATCCTGATGGTTCTGGTTTATGTCCACTTCCAGACTGTGCTTTGGGTCGAGTCCATATGGAGGGGTAGTAGTCAGTAGCTGGCCCCGTCCCGTGAAACTGGGATGTCCACTCAGAGCAGTTGTTGGGGACATGGTTTATTTGATCACACCAGCATCTCATTCGTGAAGTCCCCGAGGGGGCATTACTGTCTGTCCTACTCCCAAGAACAGTTGGTTTGCGTTTGCTTTTTGGACACTGCATTATGGAAATGAGCAGCTGCTGGAAAGCACACATGTGGTCCATCCGTAGGGACCTCACAGGGTGGTCACTGTCAGTTTCATTCCTGTCTCTTGAACTGTCCACTGTTGTCCCTCTTCTTTTGCTCTGATGTCTGATGCATGATTTCCTGTTGTGTCCCCTATATGCCTGCAACCTCTCTTAAACTATTCCTGGAATAAGCTCCTAGAAAATAGGGGGGGGGACCCTGAAACTCTTCAGGAAATATACTCTTTTTCTAGAACTTTTCTTTTTTTAGAATGAAAAATGACTTTTCTCTTGACTGTTCTCCGTTCAGTTCTGGGCATTTGTAAGCCTAAACCAGCCGTGGGCAAACTATGGCCTGCGGGCCAGATCCGGCCCGTTCGGCTGTTCTATCCGGCCCGCGGAGCCGAAAGAGCGGAGGGTTCTCTTGCTCTCCCCTCCGCTCCTTCACCAGCAGCAGTGTTAACATGACAACGTCAGGAAACACGGCCGCAGCTCCTTCTTCTGAGTCCAGTTTAAGAACCCATTGTGGCCCTCGAGTCAAAAAGTTGGCCCATCCCTGAACCAATGGTCCTCAGCCACCGGGGAGGGAGGGGAGCAGGGTGATTTTGCCTCTCAGAGGACTTCTGTGTCTGGAGACTTCTTTGGTCAGCATGACTGGGATGGCGGGGCTGCTGTCAGCATCTAGTGGGGAGAGGCCGGGGAGGCTGTGAAATATCCTGCAGTGAGCAGACAGCCCGCGACAAACAATTGTCTGAGCCAACAGGGCAGTAGTGCTGTGGTCGGGAACCTGGTCTAACTATACTTAATATGACCTTCAGTGAAGCCGGGTGTTCCTAAATTAAAAAGTGACTTTAAATCTGAAAAGGACACTAAATATGTTAAACAGACTTTAAATGTCTCCTGTTTTTATATCTTTGCCCTCCTTCTTTACCCCATGCTTCCCTCCTCCTACTCCATGGCTTTGCTGACTCTGGAGATTTTCTGTCCCTTGCTTAGGTGCCGGTGAGACTCTATGCCAGTGATGGCGAACCTATGACACGCGTGTCAGAGGTGACACGCGAACTCATTTTTTGGGTTGATTTTTCTTTGTTAAATGGCATTTAAATAGATAAAATAAATATCAAAAATATAAGTCTTTGTTTTACTATGGTTGCAAATATCAAAAAATTTCTATATGTGACACGGCACCAGAGTTAAGTTAGGGTTTTTCAAAATGCTGACACGCCGAGCTCAGAAGGTTCGCCATCAATGCTCTATGCTTATCTGTCCCTCTTAGCTGGTGCTGGGTTGCCCCTAACTTGGACCCATTTCCTCTATTTATCTGAGAGAGAGAGAGAGAGAGAGAGAGAGAGAGAGAGAGAGAGAGAGAGAGAGATCAGTTTGTAGTCCCACTTATTTATGCATTCATTGGTTGCTTCTTGTATGTGCCCTGGCCAGGGATCAAACCCACAACCTTGGTGTATTGGGTTGACACTTTAAACAACTGGGCTACCCTGCCAGGCCTGTCCTTACTTCTGAAGTGGGTGGAATAGGGTGAGAAGGGACTGTCTGGAAGGGGATGGAGAGGCCAGTGTGCAGCCACCTGTCCTGGACAGTGGAGTAAGAAGGCCTGGTGTCTTCTCACCACATCATTTTGGGCGGAGCCTAAGCCCAGGGGCTGCCCTTGCAGGCTCCTGTCAGATCCATGTGCAGAGGCGGGCAGCTCAGCAGAGCCCAGCAGACAGACAGCTGAGGCTGACTCCTTGCACTCAGCCAGGGCCATGTGCCCTGTCCAGGGTTAGGCACTGCAAACTCTGCCTTCAGGAGTGGCCTCTGTCTGGTCCAGGTCCCAAGGGCCTGCCAGGGGAAGGGTTGTGCTGACTCAGACAACCTAGTGGAGGCCAAGGGGCCTTGCAATTCCCAGGCCCTTACCTTAGCGGGGTCTCTGCCAAGAACCCCACCTGTGGGTGAGTGTCTGTGGGGAGTGCGTGTGTAGAAATGTCAGTCGTTCAGAAGTGGCTGACAAGTCTCCATCTAGCCTTTCCAGCTCGGCATTCACGGGACATAGATTTTAGTTGTAAGGTGTGGCCTTGTGGGAATTTCAGATGGAAAGGCTGGTGTTTGTCCAGCGTCATTCGCTTGGTGGGATGTGAGCTCAAGCTCAAATCTCTGCTCAGTTTTCACCCCAGCTCTCCCTTTTCCTGGGGTCCTTGGAGATACTCAGCCATCAGCCTAGGATTTGAGGGGAGTTAATATACGGATTTGAAGGCTTCCCGCTCTGTGGCCTCCTTCACTGCAGGAAGCCTACCTTCCAGACTCTGTTCTTGGACTCTTCAAGCCAACAAAGGCTGTCCCTTGTCATTTAGACTGAGGGGTACCCAGGGGGAAAACCCCATTTAAATGTGGTTGGCTCCTTTCATCAGGTGTCTGAGTGCTTTACAGTGCTTTCAAGTAGTTGTTTTTCCTGTTTTGTCCAGAGTTTATAATTCTTGCCTCTGGTGGGGAATCATCAGCTATATACTGCTCTGCCATTACAGGCCATCCTTTCACTCTAACTTACCTATATGGAATGTGTGCCACTTTCATCTATGCATTTATTGCGTGCTGGGGTGGGGAAGAAGACGCAGCCCTAAGGGCTGAAGTGCAGTATTGAGTGCAAGTGTAGGTGGAGCTTACAGCAGAGCTGGCATCACTGGGGTGGGCTTCACAGAAGGGGTCTTGGCCAGTCAGGCTGTGAAGGCGGGGCAGGACGTGGGTGAGCAGACGGAGAAAAGACTGTGGCAGCTTGGGCACTGCTGGGCTAAGGGCAGAGACAGGCACGAACATGGTGTGAGAGGGACAGTGCTCCAACCAACCTCAGCCTGGCTGCGGGGGTCTGAGCAGGAAAGGTATACTGTCCGGATAGACTCAGCGTGGAGAAACAGAGGCAGCCGGTGCTTTCGACGGACCCTTCCATGAAGGCTGTGCACTAAGGTGCTCCCAGGACATTCCCCGTTCCCCGTCCTTTCCTGCAGCCCGAGGCTGGTTCCAGGCAGGTTGAGAGCCCCCGATCTCTGGAGAGAGAGACTTAGGGGTAATCACCACAGGGGCAGGTGGGATGCAGACACCTAAAAGGAGGGAGTGGTGCCAGAAGCTCAACCCAGTGGGTGCCCTTGAGAGCTCCATTCAAAGGGAAAATGAGCCCTAGCCGGTTTGGCTCACTGGATAGAGCGTCGGCCTGGGGACTGAAGAGTCCCGGGTTCGATTCCGGTCAAGGGCATGTACCTTGGTTGCAGGCACATCCCCAGTGGGGGGTGTGCAGGAGGCAGCTGATCGATGCTTCTCTCTCATCGATGTTTCTAACTCTCTCTATCCCTCTCCCTTCCTTTCTGTAAAAAATCAATAAAATATATTTAAAAAAAAAAAAAAAAAAAAAAAAGGGAAAATGAAAGAGTGGTGGAAGCCCTGGCCGGCGGGCTCAGTTGCTTGGGCATTGTCTTGGGCACCGGAGGGTTGCCAGTTGCCAGGGTTTCAGGCTCAATTGCATGTGCGGAGCGTGCAGGAGGCAGCTGATGGATGTTTCGCTCTCACATAAATAATTCTCTCTCTTTCCCTTCCCCCCTCTCTAAAAATCAATAAAAAAATCTTTTTTAAAAAGTGACGTAAGCACCTTTACTAAGTATGGGCCAGCATCTCCCAGGCTCCGTGAGCTGACTCCTGTTCATCCCAGTCCCCAGTAGTGCATGTCCGGATTCTTTGAGCCCAATCTTTTATCCTCTGAAGGACACACAATCGGCTTTGGGGCTGCAAAAGGAGGTTTAGGTGGGGGTTTGGCGGGGGGTCTCTAATCCCAAACTTTGTCCTTAGGAGGCTTAGGATCAGCGCTGACCATTCAGGGAACCCCAAAGTGGCTTTGGAGGCTGGGTTCTCTGGTGAGGTGGGGGGAGGGTAATCTATAAAAGGCATGAGAGGGGGTGGGGGACCTCCATGAGCAAAATGTCAGGGGAGGAAGAGTTTTATCTGTTCAAGAACATCTCCTCCGTGGGACCGTGGGATGGGCCTCAGTACCACATTGCCCCGGTCTGGGCCTTCCAACTCCAGGCAGCCTTCATGGGCTTTGTCTTCTTTGCAGGGACACCACTCAATGCCACGGTGCTGGTGGCCACACTGCGCTACAAGAAGCTGAGACAGCCCCTCAACTATATTTTGGTCAATGTGTCCCTGGGGGGCTTCCTCTTCTGCATCTTCTCTGTCTTCACTGTCTTCATTGCCAGTTGCCAGGGATACTTCGTCTTCGGCCGCCATGTTTGTGCTTTGGAGGCCTTCCTGGGCTCTACAGCAGGTACTGCCGGGGAAGGGGGCCGGGGGAGGCAAAGGACACTGAGCTGGGATTGGAACCAGGGACCGGCCTGCCGACCTGGAGTGCATCCCAAAAGAGGAGTCTAGGGGAGTTTGGTGCTCTTTTGCATATTGGAATACAAAGCCTAGACTAGAAAGTTGACCCACTGCATCCCAAATTCTACCCCACCCATTAGTCCAACCCTGTCTCCCCGTGCTTGCCCCACTCCGTAATTCACTCCGTCTGCCAGGCGGGGTGGGCTGTCTACCCCATTACTTTCATGTCTCACCACAGGTCTGGTAACAGGCTGGTCACTGGCCTTCCTGGCCTTTGAGCGCTACATTGTCGTCTGTAAGCCCTTCGGCAGCTTTCGCTTCAGCTCCAAGCACGCACTGATAGTGGTTCTGGCCACCTGGACCATTGGTATTGGCGTCTCCATCCCACCCTTCTTTGGCTGGAGCCGGTGAGAGCCCGGGGCAGTGATGCTGACATTGCTTGGAGCTGAGGGTGGTGTGGGTGGAAAGAGTTGGGTAAAGCTTTTTTATTTCTAATTTTTAATGAACGGGTGAAGTAGGTGAGAGAAAGGGCTGTGGGAGACAAATCCTAAAGTCTACTCCTCAGTTCAAATTGCTATACCCTTCGCTGGTGAGCACAGAAAGCCCTTTCTGCCCAGTCACTGGGCATCCCCTGGGTTCTACATGGAGACCCCAATGCAGGAATCTCGGCTCCCACTCCGCATCCTTGTGGTGGCCCCCGCAGTGAGCAAGTGTGTCCAGTGGGTGAGTGTTTGGTCCCTTACAGGTTCATCCCCGAGGGCCTGCAATGTTCCTGTGGCCCCGACTGGTACACCGTGGGCACCAAATATCGCAGCGAGTACTATACCTGGTTCCTCTTCATCTTCTGCTTCATTGTGCCTCTCTCCCTCATCTGCTTCTCCTACTCTCAGTTGCTGGGGGCCCTTAGAGCTGTGAGTGGCTTTTGTGAGGGTCAGGGAGAGAGGGAAGAGTGGGGGAATGTTCTAGAACATATCTGGAAAAGCCATAGCCAGGTTAGAGCATTGGCCTGCAGACTGAAGGGTTCTGGGTTCAATTCTGGTCAAGGGCACGTACCTCAGTTGCAAACTCCTTCCCAGATGGGGCCCTGGTCGGGGCTCATGCAGGAGACAACCAATCGATGTGTTTCTCTCACACAGATATTTCTGTCTTTCCCTTTCTCTTCCACTCTCTCTAAAAATCAATGGAAAAATCCTCGGGTGAGGAGTAAAAAAAATAATAATAATAAAATAAAAGCAAAGAAGGAAGTGGGGATAGGCAGAATGATGAAATGGCATGAAGTCTAAGGTGGAGTCACCCCTGCTCAAATATAGATGTCAAGACATGCATGTGATCCCTTCCAGTGACCCAGACCAGAGCCGCCTCCATCCTGGCTTCCTCACGGAGGGAGAGCCACGGGGACTGGGCCAGAAACTGGGGCAGAAGAGAAGCAATTGGAGCAGATCCCGCCCCCCCCCCCCCCCCCGATAAAAAACAAAAATCCTCCAGAGATCTGGGAGTTGAGAGCTGGGGAAAAGAGGATGTGTTCTCTGTGCTTTTCCCAGGTTGCTGCCCAGCAGCAGGAGTCGGCCTCGACCCAGAAGGCTGAGCGGGAGGTGAGCCGCATGGTGGTGGTGATGGTGGGGTCCTTTTGTCTCTGTTATGTGCCCTATGCTGCCCTGGCCATGTATATGGTCAACAACCGTAACCACGGGCTAGACTTACGGCTTGTCACCATTCCTGCCTTCTTCTCCAAGAGCGCATGTGTCTACAATCCCATCATCTACTGCTTCATGAATAAGCAGGTAAAGTTCCCCATTCACACTCCTGTGAGACCCTAGTCTGTAAGACCTGGTTCTTGTCACCGACTTTTAACTCCGAGTGCCTTAGACTGTACTCCAAGGGTTCGGGGTGAACAAGGGAAGCCACAGAAACACTTAGCCCAGGAGCAGCCCATAGAAGCACAGGGTGGGAGGTGTGGTCATCGAGACAGTATCATAGAACCCGGGGAAGACAGAACTTGAGCCATAAAAATTGAGTTGCTCCAAAGGACAGGATAAGTGAAAAGGTTTTCTGTTTTATTGAAAAACTGATAGCTCCCTTACATTCTAGTCCTTCCAATTCAGTTCTTAATCCTTTCTTGTCCAACTTTTAGCCTGCAGGAGCATGTGTGGAGCACAGAAATCACATGCATAAAATCTAAAGCAGCTTATCATCTGAAGGTCCCAGGTGGCCTATCCCTCAATTCCTAAATCTAAGCTAAAAAAACAAACAAAAAAACTTAGACAAATCTAGGAGAGTTCCTGTCTGAGAATGATATTATTTCTTCAGTCCCTGAGATGGATTCAAAAACAAATGTGAATCTGGATGGAAAGAGGATTGGCAGTCCCTTCCCCAGCGGAAGGACCTTCTAGAAAAGGGGAGGGTGGGTGGGTGGACCTTCTCTAGGGCTCCTAGGAGGCAGGCTAGTTTATGAGTTTCCCCAACAGTGAGTTGGCCAGAATGTGTAGGGTTATGTAGACAAGCAGCGAGAAGTCCTGGACTGGAATCTAACCAGTCTCAGGACTGGGAAGATATACTCAAAACCACCTGAGGAGATCCTGGGCATTAGGCATTATCCAGGGCATTATTTGGGGATACAACAGAGAAATTTCTTCCCATAGTTCCTGATGTTATCACCTCTGTTCTGGTCTGCTGAGGGGGCTATCTCCAATTCTACCCTTTCTCTCCAGTTCCGGGCTTGCATGATGGAGATGGTGTGTGGGAAGTCCATAACAGATGAGTCTGACATGTCCAGCTCCCAGAAAACGGAAGTTTCTACTCTCTCTTCTAGCCAAGTGGGCCCCAGCTAAGGCGCCATATTGGACTATTTGCAGCAATTAGGATTTCACATTTAAGGAAATTTCTACTTTCTCTGCTAAAAACCAAACTACTAACCATGCAGAAAACAGATGGGAAGGGCGTGATGACCATTTTGGGCGATCAATTTCCCGTTTTCCTGTTATTCCCTTCTTCCCTACAAAGCTACCGTTCCAGCTGGGTCCATCTCGGAACACATCAAGCCCTTTGCAGCAACCATGTTTCTACTAAGTGGCAAGATTCACAGCACTTGCAGACTCATCTCTACAGACAAGGCATCTATAAAGGAGTGTGGTTGGGTTCTCAGTGTATGGGTAACAATTACCTCCCTTTTTAGTAACATTTTCTCCCTTCTGCAATGATATATTCTGAGAAAACACCTTAGAAATGGGAGAGACTTAAAGAAAAAACAAATAAAACCTTCAGTAGGCCCCAAATGTGAGTCTGAACGAATTTCTTTACGCTGTATCGTATATGCCCATCGTCAGTATAGCTCTGGCAGCAACAGCCAGGCCCATGGGCTCGAGCCAGCATGGCTCACTCCAGGTGTTTCCCTTCCCTCTCTCCGCCTATTTGGCTAAACCTATATATCTATCTTAAGAGGTGTATTTTACCAAAGTTAACAGTTTAATTCACTTTATGTCCTCAAAATAAAATTGCACATCTTGGTATCATTTATAAACCACACCAAAATGTTCAAAAAACTGTTTTACCTTATATTTCATATTTCCTTTTTGAAAAAGAGTCTTTTTGAAATAAAAATCAGTATAAATGTTGTGTGTACATTCGGGAGTGGCTTGTGTTTGGTGTCAGATATCTGTGTAATGAGCAGTTATACGGCCTAAGGGCAGAGAGAGGGATTACAACTGCAGTGAGGACGCGATTCGGGATTTCAGGAACAGGAAGAGAAGAGTAGCCAATTTGGAAGAAGGCAGCGACTTCTCTGGTTGAGGAAGGGGTACATAACCTTTCCAGGATAGCTCCTTTTCTGACATTTTAGAGTACTCATAATTCCGAGCAAGCATTCTATTTCTTAAGTGAATAAAGGCCACACATACTCCACAACGAATGTAAACAGTTTTATTTAGAAACAGATAGGTACCTGTTTGCATTATAGAATATAAAACTTGGTTTACACTCTATAAAAAATAACCAACATCCAAATTCAAGAGAGCTAGCATTCACAGGACACACAATATGGGTGTGCAGCGACTTCCACCAGCCCCAGGCCTGATTTAAACCAAAAACATAATCCAGGGGGGTCATTCGAGATTCGAGTACAATGCTTGCTGCTGAGCACCCAGCAGTCACTGTCTCAGCAGATGAAGGTTTGCTTTCTAAGTGTGACTGTAACACAAGGCCTGGGTTCTCTGCCCTGTGAGCTGCGAGGCTCCCCTGCCAGTCCTGATGTGCTCTAACGAAGCCAGGGTTGGTGGCATATTAGTTATCTCTGGTCTTCTTAACAATAAAAATGGGGAATCTAGAAGGCAGAGAATTTCCATGCCCCTTATATGGGGATTAAACTTAAAAGAGTATATCCACTCTCAAGAGCTCAATGCAAAGGCTGGGGTGAAGTTACATGATATCTGGCTTTTCACCAGGCCAAGTAGCCCACCTCAACATGATCATGGAAGACCGAAGGATACACCTAAGTTCAGGTTATAATAATCACCCAGCACCACCCAAATATTATCCAGAAAGATATATGAAATAATAAAGGTTAGTTATATATATTTATCTTAGTAACCTGAGGGCTAAAAACTTGGAATACAATAAATTCTCTCAAAAGAGGTCCATCTGTACGAAGGGACCAAAAAGACAGCTTGTGTTATGTAAAACAGGGGTGGAGTGAGTTGGGAACAGGGGCCGGTTTCTTCAGCTCTTTCTACAAGGTCTCTCTCTTTGCTAAAGACTGGCAATCTGTTGATCCAAGATAAGCTTTTCGTTTGGCAGGGGTGGTGGGGGGATAGGGAGTGATGGGTCAGAGGCAGGAAGAGTAAGCAACGGTCCTCAAACCAAAGAGCCCTCTCTGCAGGCCTCTCAGCTTCGAGTCTGACTCAAGCTCTCTAGTTGACACAGACACGGCCTGGGAGTAAGTGGTTAGCATTCTGAGGTATGAGGATCCCTGGTAAATTCAGCAGCATGTGGTTTTTAGAAACCGGCCCACAAAATAAAAACACTGCAACACTAATACTGCTATTTAACCACTGTCTGAAAGAGAAGAAAAAAAAAAAAATCCCCACTACATTGGGAGGCTCTAAGCTTTCATAAAAGGTGGTCCAAAATAACTTCTCTTTATCTTAGGGTTTCTTAAGAAAGTCCTCATTCAGTCATCATTTCTCTTGTTAAAGGCACTTTCAATGACATGATTGGAAAGAAGCACAATTTAACCGCAGTGAAAGCAAAATTAGTTCCTGGGAACATCTGGGGAATAGGAGCCAAATGGGGCACTTACAGTGATTCAACAGGCAAGACAGTCCTGAGCACTTCAGCAGACACACACCCAGAAAAAATGGTGTGCCCTGAAAACACTTGTATTTTTCCTTTAGTTTTCCAGTTGTTTCTATGTATAGCTCTGTAAAAAGATCACATTCAATACTTGATTTTCAGGACACTGGCCCTAACGCTTCCGACCACAGCTGTGCTTGACAAAATTAGCAAACAGCTAGTCCTACAGGGAATCAAAAAAAGGATGAATAAAATCAAGCTGAGCCAAGCTTTCTTACAGCACAGGGCTCTGTCCCTGCCTAGATAATGCCACGATCAGTTGCTGAACTGAATAAAATATATGGCCCCTGCTACTGATGAAATACTCTTTTCAATAGGCAAGATTATCATTTTTCTAAATATAAAGAGTGGGGTATATATTTTTTTCTTTTTTCCTCTCTTCCAAACATTTCTTAATGATTTCAGGCTTAAAAAAGTAATTAAGTCAGAATTACAAAAATTACATGGTAAGGGTTGAGAAAGAGTGAAGGGCTAATTTTTGCCTATGAGTTGAGGATCTTAATCCTGCATATCATACTCCCAATCAAAGAACAAATACAAAAATAAAACACCATGTTATACATAATACAAAGTGTAAATCTACAAACACAAGTGTACTAATTAGTTGTTCCTCAGAAGCAGTTTTCCTCCTGTCCCTCAGCGAGGAGAAGGAATGGGGACGGGATGGTTTTCATTATGTTTTTTCACGTCTTAAAAAGTTTGTAATAACAGTCTCAGTAGCGCAAACAATTTCATGTGAAACCAGAAGCTGTAAAAATAAATTATTTTTGAAGAAACGTGGGTTCCTCTGTCTGCAGCTCAGAATTCATCATGTCGTACTAAGGCCTCACCAAAATCTGTGGCCTGGCTGCCCACAAATAAATCATACTTGTCAACAATCTCCTCCTTGGTAAGCTTGCCATCCTGAAATTAGAGAAGAGTGAATTGAGGCAGATATATTTCCCATTCCAAATTTAGAAACACTACTATAGATCAACAGTGGTTTGGCAAGATTTAAGATTCTAATTCCCAGTAAATGATATGTGAACTATACCCTCCATTCCTGGCCTGTACACACACACACTCACACACTCACACACTCACACACACTCACACACACACACACACACACACACAGCAATTAATACCTTTTTCTTATCAAGAAAGTTAAAAGTGGAAGGCTAGAAATAATATAGCTCAACAACTCAACGCTAGAGATACAGGTTTCTTTAGGAGAGAATGCCCCCCTTTGGAGCAAAGGCGGACAGCTCCTACGTAAGGGCAGATAGTAAAGAACTGGGTGAAATACTTCAGAATGAATCAAGTCACTGCCTAACAGGAACAACAAAGTCTGCAAACATCAAGCAGAGTCCTCACCTCCATTATGTTCCGCTACCAATCAGATTCCAGGCACAACCCCAAATGAAGGCTCAGATGCTCATCTAAAAGATTATCTAGGCCACATTCCCAAGGGATGATTGCATGAGTTTCTTTTCCTTACAAACCTCACAGGACACAGCACCTGGCTACTGAAGTCACTGAGTAAGACCTCAAAACAGACTGACCCTTAAAAAGGCTTCATGACAAGAAACTGCTTTTGAAACTGAAGATTAGCCTAGATAAAAGAATGCTCAGATACTAAAAATCCCTAAATTTGGATGGGTAACACCACTCTTTCAATGAACCAAATACCCCAGATAATTGATTAAGGACAATATTAACAGGCTCCAGAAAAAGCTTATTTATAACCTACTACAAAGGACTTAATTCTAAAAAGCATATTTGACTTAAGAAGGAAATAACCAGCTTTGAGTAGGCAAAATGAACCTGTAATTGGTAAAAGAACAAAGTAAAAAAAAAAAAAAAGAGAGAGAAAAATTTCCTGGGGACCCATAGAGAACAGATGATACATGCTGGGCATAGGTTATATACAGAGGTTCTTTTCTGAAGCCTAAATTCCTCCAATGCTATGTACACTGGGCAAAGGGGTTTCTAAAATGAGATCAGATAGCTAGTGCTGCCCCGTAAGCTTTTAATTACCAACTTTAGGTCGGTAGCAGACTTAGATTAATTAAGACCACAAATGCTTTATGTACCTTAATCGGGATTTTTTAGGCAATCCCCTAGAAATAGACTTCCATCACTGCTAGATTGTTGGGGCCTGGCCAGACTTACCTTATTTTGGTCTGACTCATAGACTAGGTGCCTGGCTTCTGCTTCTGCATGATCATAGTCTGATGGGAGAATCCAATCTTTGGTCTCTTCCTTGTCCATCTTCCCGTCTCGGTTCTTATCTCGAAACTCAACAAATTGTTCTCTCTCTGTCTTTACCCATTCTGGTTCATCAGCCTTTCCATCATGGCTGTACATGTCACCTATGTGCACAGACATACAAAGAAAAGACGGATTTGCCCTTTTCCCACGACTGCTCGCTCCATGCTAATCTGTTCTACCCCTCCTTCCTCATCCAACTGGAACCTGACTGCAGTATTTTAGAGAACTTAGAAAATAAGGTATTTTCCTGAATCTTAATTGATCTTGCAACAAGAATATTTCCAGCTATTGCTTTTGAGTGATATGAAAGCAAAGAGAGCCCTTATCTTAAAAACACACAAAAAACCCCATTGTCCAGCCTGTATGGCTCAGTGATTGAGCTTCGACCCATGAACCAAGAGGTCACGGTTCCATTCCCGGTCAGGGCACAGGCCTGGGTGGCGGGCTCAATTCCCCAGTGGGGAAATGGGCTCAGTAAATGCACACAGGCATTTATTTCCACTGTGCTGATGTTTCTATCTCTCTCCCTCTTCTCCCTTCATCTCTGAAAGCAATAAAAACATATTATAAAAAGAACAAAAACACACACACAAATAGCCATAGCTGGTTTGGCTCAGTGGATAGAGTGTCGGCATGTGGACTGAAGGGTCCTGGGTTCAATTCTGGTCAAGGGCATGTACTTCGGTTGCAGGAGCCTCCCAGTCTGGGCCGTGGTCCGGGAGCAGGCAGGAGGCAACCAATCAATGTGTTTCTCTCACATCGATATTTCTGTCTTCCACTCTCTCTAAAAAAAATCAACGGAAAAATATCCTTGGGTGAGGATTAAAAATAATAAGTAAGTAAGTAAGTAAATAAATAAATATATAAAGCATAAATAAAGAGAGATGATTAGCATCAAGAAATATAAAGACTTTTACAAGACTAATCTGTTCTACCCTACATTCCACTTTACTCAAGGTAACTAATTAAACCTGGCCTAC